AAAATCATCCTTTTTGTTGTCAGTATTAAAAAAAAAAAAAAAAAAAGCCCAAATGACAATTTCCAAAACTGGAGGGGAAGATGGAAACAGTTGAGGATATTTTAAAAATGGAATTTCTTGCTGAGACATACTGTCAAATTTTTCATTATACCCATTTCGAGGCAGGCATTTATTACCTTTCCAGTGACTATATATCTCCTGTAGTGTTCTTACTGTGGTTCGCCTCTTAATTACCAGTAGAATTTGCATTTAAACGGAGTTAGAGCCATTTACTCCTCGGCTTCCCATGGTTGTTTCCATGGTAACAAGGGGTCGGGTAGCTGACGTGGCTGTTACCTGGCTTCTGTCCTGGAAGCATCTCAGGAGCCGGTAACCCCTTCTCTTATGCTTCACCTAGGACACTGAGCCAAAGCATCAAAGGATCCACTGACCCCTGTCGTATTTCTCTGGAACTACACTCAGCAGGCGGGAGTCCCTTTCTCTGCGGAGCTCTTCAGGAAGCACCTGGGGTTGGTTTCTCCTCCAAGATGGATCCACAGCCACAGGTACTCTAGCTGCATTGGGTCTGGTGTCCAGTTCTCTCTAGAATCTGAGCCCAGGTGCCTCCGTGTCTGCAAAGCATGAGTGATTACTTGCGGTGGGGAACCAACTGACCCCTCTTCTGCTGTCGGCAGTCAAGTTTCCCAGATCAAGATTCCCAGGAGTTGGCCACAATGATGCAAACTGTAACCAACCAGCAACCAAAATACCTGGAATCGTGGAATCCAGGCCCAGCTCTGCAGTCTGGGACAGAGCTGGTTCCACTCCAGAATGCTAAGTGAAAGAGAAAGGAAGGTGTGTTTGTACCAGGCAGTTCTAGATCCCTTCAGCACTGAAAGCCAATGGTGCCAAGGTTTCCACAAAGAGAAATGGATTAAGAACAAGTAAAAGTGCCAAAAACAATTCTAGATAAATGAAGATTGCTTGGTCTTGCACAAGCCACCAGGGAAGGTGTGCAGACTCCTGACACATCTCATGGTGTGGCTGGGACTTGTGAAGCAGGAGGTGACAAGGAATCTATAGAGCTCTGTGTGCCTCCCGCCCCCCAGGAGGGGTTCTCTGAACTAGGTCAGCAGACGCAGTGCTGACACCTTCAAAGACAAGCGCTCCACCCCTTGTCCTTCTCCTAATTTTCTCTATCATCCATTCCCTGGGATTGGACTAAGGACAGGTACACATCTCTGTCTGCAGTGTGGCTTGTTGTATACCATTTCAGGGAAGAAGAAGCAATTCACGTGTCAGTTAAGAAACTCCCCAATCACATGACAGTCTTAAGTGGCCCAAGTCTGGAATTCTAACTAGGTTTGCTTGATTTTCCTGACAGTCAACTTTCCAATGCAACCTCATTCTCCAGAAGGTAAAAGTAGGAAAATGTCAGTCATCATGTCTTAATATTGACTAAAGTCCTTGAAAAAATCTTCTCTGTTGGATAAGGACACTCCGTCTAGTTTGACCTGAAGAGTAGTGATGGTTGAGCATATAATTATGTTGCTTTTTAAGGTACAGGTTTGCTGTCTCCTGCTGGTTGGGTATAGTGTACTTGCTTCAAATATTTCCTTTGCAAATTAATCTGTAGCTCAGTCTGGATATTCTTGGCACATAGGGGCATTCCAAATCCCTCCAGTCCAATTCTTCAGTGGGTTTCTGGATGAACCCTGGGGAGGGATTGAACCCCTTGCATATGGGATGCCTTTTTTTATTGGGTTCAAAATGGAGCACGCCATGACATGTACCTGTCTTCTCAGGCCTGCTAGGCAGTTATACTGAAGAAACTAATTTCATGACTGGGATTTAGAAAATGAACTGCTTGCAAGAACCATTTCAGCCAATGGCTGTAGAGGGAAAGTTTGGGGAGCCCAGGGCCCAGTGGGAACAGAGATAGTGAGTCCCACCTCTACCATTGCCAAGATTGGGTTCAATGGAGCACGCCATGACATGTACCTGTCTTCTCAGGCCTGCTAGGCAGTTATACTGAAGAAACTAATTTCATGACTGGGATTTAGAAAATGAACTGCTTGCAAGAACCATTTCAGCCAATGGCTGTAGAGGGAAAGTTTGGGGAGCCCAGGGCCCAGTGGGAACAGAGATAGTGAGTCCCACCTCTACCATTGCCAATCTCAATTCTTATGTCTGTGTGTAACTACTTGAATATAAGACTTCACTGGGGTTTTCTGCTTCCTGAGATTTGGGCTTCATTGTTCATGTGCCTGACTATAATGGCTTCCATCTCAATTGCTGATCTATGGGTATTCACAAACAGTATAACTTCATTGAAGACTGGCTGTGAACAGGCTGTAGCGTCGTGTAGTCTGTTTAGTTTTATCTCATAGAGTCAATTAGCATTGTAGTCTCTGTGGGTGTATAGCTCAAGTCCCAGGATGGGGGTGAACTGATATGATTCATATCTTCAAGATATAAATGAATAACTTCCCAGCTAGCAGTGGAGGATTCCCATGGCCTTTCACAGATACAGTAAATTCCATATTAGGGTTTATCTCTTATAATTGCTAATATCTGAATACAGTTACTTTGTTAATTTTTCCTTTTTTATTGCAATTATGGGAACTCCAACTCAACATATCTTTTAAAGATAGAAGGGAAGCAATTTATTGCTAGTGTAACTGAAAGTGCCAGAGAAGGGGTGACTCTTAGGATGGCTGTGTACACTATTTAGTGGTACCAATGCCTCCGTGCCCATCAGATCTGCTTCCCCTGGCATCACTGCCTATGAAGCCCAACCAACACTGGAAGTGGCAAGATGGTGGCTATACTTTCAAGATTACAGAGCTTACAGGATGACCTTTGGTGTGCTTTATTTTCATCCTCAGATTCATCAAAAATGGACTCCAAACTTCTGAAAAACAAGTACAGACTTAACATGTAGAGATCTTTGTTCTTGTCATTATTTATTAAATTATGCAGTCTAACAATGATTGATGAAGCATTTATATTGTGTTAGGTGTAAGTAATCTAGAGATGATTTAAAGCATAGTAGAGCCTCAGTATCTACAGGAGATTGATCCAGGGACCCTTCCCTTCTCCAGGATACTGAAATCTGTGGATTGGAAAACCTGTAGATGCTTAGGTCTATTTAATAAAATGGGCTCATATTTGCATGTAATCTATGTACATTCTCTTGAATAATTTAAATCATATTTGGATTACCTTTAATACCTAATATAATATATACTATGTAAGTAGTTGTTATACTATATTGTTTGGGGAATGAATGATAAGAAAGCAACTTCTATACATATTTATTACAACACATTTTTTCCCAAATATATTTGATCTGCTCTTGATTGAATCAGCAGAGGTGTAACCTACCGACACTGAGGGCCACTGTCTGTGAGAGAATACACATAGGTCATATGCAAATACCATACCATTTTATATAGGTGACTTGAGCATCCCCGGATTTTGTATGTCAGGGATGAAAGCTACTAAAAACAATGGCTCTTACATACCAAGGGATAACTGTATCTTCCTCCAGGAAGCAACAGAAAGGAAAGTTCTCTTTATCACAGAAAGTTGTTTGTGCTACCCAACATGGCCTGTATGTACACACTTGACTCAATCATCTTGGCTAGAGATGGAGAACAGTAATTGGGTTAGTCTTGATCTTTCTGTCTGTCTGACTTCTGTATACAGTCTGGGAATGGACCCACTTGAACTACATGGACAGAAACATCGGAATACTACAACAAGAGCTATGACTTGTTTGTATTTTAGGTCTTTCTTTCCTCATTACATGCATAAGCAGCTATTTTTACTCTAGCAATAAGGTGTATCAGTCAGCTTCATGCTATTGAAAAGAAGTACCTGAAATAGACTACTTAGGAAGCAAAGAGCAGTTTGTCTAAACTCATGGTTCTGGAAGTTCAAGTCCAACATAGGAAGCCCATGCAGAGGGCATCTATCATCACAGGAGCATGTGTCTGAGTGGACACTTACATCTTGAGTCAGGATGCAGAGAGACTGAATCCTACAACCTCTTTCCAGGGCCTGCCCCCAATTACATAAAGACATCTCATTAGGACAAGCTTCCTAAAGCACCTTCCAATGGTATCTCCCTGGGGACGAAGACTTTGGCACATAGACCTTTGGGAAACACTATCTATATTAGCACAGCAAATAAGGAAACGGAGGCTAAGTGTAGTATGATTGCCATAATACATAGCTTAATAGATTATGCCTGTAGCCTGTCTGACTCTAAACTGTAGGTTCCTATTCTAAATTCCTGTGCTTGGTTTTCTTTCTGGCTACATTGTGTGGAAATTGGAGTCAGAAATCTTTGAAGTTTGCTTCTTCAAAGCACAGTAATGTTAATATTCTCAAGCTGGCATAATAATGATGATAATTCCTTTAATTGGTATTATACTGGCCTGATTGATAACTACGTTCCTTTTTATTATTTTCTCACTTGTTGGTGATTTAAGTAAGGCAAGATGGGTGTTCCCATTTCTTTGAAGCTAAAATAGGTGAAGACGATTTCCATGACATTATCATCTGAATGTTTGCCAAACCCCCCACATTATTATTTGAAGTCCTAAAACTTCGTGTGACCATATTTGGAAACAAAACCTAGCTACAGGCAAATGAGGTCACAAAGATGTTGCCCTGATGCATGGAAATAATGTCTTCAGAAGAATAGCTGGAGAATTCACATGTGCTTTCTAATTCTCCCCCTATATCAGGAGAAGGCACAGCAAGAAAGCCCAGCTTGTAAGGAAGGAGGGGAGCCCTCCTAGAAAGGTCTGCTGAACCTTAGTCTGGCTGTTTTGGCCTTCAGAACTGTGGGGAAATAAACTGTTATTTAAATCACCCTGTTTATGCTATGTCCTTATATCTGGCCAAGGTCAGTGACATACATCGTCATGTGCTTAGTGACAGGGAAACTGGGTTTAGAAATTGGGTTCTTATCCCTTCTGAATCCTTTCAACCTCTTCCAATACTTTGTTTTCATGTATTTCTTTCTTTTTTCCAAAGCAAGACCCCCTAAGGAGGAGAATGAAACCCCAAGTATCTATATAACAGAATTCTTTATTGGTTCTGATGGAAAAAAGTCATGGGAAATTGTCTTGAATAGGAGTAAGGAGAGGAACACTGATCAAGCTGTCTTAGCTGAGAAACTGCATTTGCTATCACGGCGAGAACTCCATGCCCCACCAGACATCTTTATTGGTTCTAATTTGTTTTGGTTTATGAAGAATTTCTGCCCTACTAGAGGAAAA